ATTTAAAACGGTAAGGGGTAAGCCTTGCATTTTTATCAAAAAGGGGCAAAAACACATTTTTATCCAAAATTTTAAACGGTAAGGGGTTAGTTAGCCTTGTATTTTTATCAAAAAGAGGCAAAAACACATTTTTATCCAAAAATTTTAAACAGTAAGGGGTTAGCCTTGCATTTTAACCAAATAGAGGCAAAAACACATTTTTATCCAAAATTTAAAACGGTAAGGGGTTAGCCTTGCATTTTTATGAAAAAGGGGCAAAAACACGTTATTATCCAAAATTTAAAACGGTCAGGGGTTATCCTTGTATTTTAATCAAAAAGAGGCAAAAACACATTTTTATCCAAAATTTAAAACGATAAGGGGTTAACCTTGCATTTTTATTAAAAAGGGGCAAAAACACGTTATTATCCAAAATTTAAAACGGTAAGGGGTTAGCCTTGCATTTTTATCAAAAAGGGGCAAAAACACATTTTTATCCAAAATTTACAACGGTGAGCATGGTAAGGGGTTAGCCTTGCATTTTTATCAAAATGGGGCAAAAACACATTGTTTTCCAAATTTTAAAACGGTAAGGGGTTAGCCTTGCATTTTTATCAAAAAGGGGCAAAACACATTTTTATCCAAAATTTAAAACGGTAAGGGGTTAGCCTTGCATTTTAATCCAAAAGAGGCAAAAACACATTTTTATCCAAAATTTACAACAGTAAGGGGTTTGTCTCGCATTTTTATCAAAAAGGGACAAAAACACATTTTTATCCATAATTTACAACAGTAAGGGGTTAGCCTTGAATTTTTATCAAAAAGGGGCAAAAACACATTTTTATCCATAATTTACAACGGTAAGGGGTTAGCCTTGCATTTTTATCAAAAAGGGGCAAAAACACATTTTTATCCAAATTTTAAAACAGTAAGGGGTTAGCCTTGCATTTTTATCTAAAAGGGGCAAACACACATTTTTATTCAAAATTTAAAACGGTCAGGGGTTAGCCTTGCATTTTAATCAACAAGAGGCAAAAACACTTTTTATCCAAAATTTACAACAGTAAGGGGTTAGCCTTGTATTTTTATCAAAAAGAAGCAAAAACACATTTTTATCCAAAATTTACAACGGTAAGGGGTAAGCTTTGCATTTTTATCAAAAAGGGGCAAAAACACATTTTTATCCAACATTTTAAACGGTAAGGGGTTAGTTAGCCTTGTATTTTTATCAGAAAGAGGCAAAACACATTTTTATCCAAAAATTTAAAAGGGTAAGGGGTAAGCCTTGTATTTTTATCAGAAAGAGGCAAAAACACATTTTTATCCATAATTTACAACAGTAAGGGGTTAGCCTTGCATTTTTACCAAATAGAGGCAAAAACACATTTTTATCCAAAATTTAAAACGCTAAGGGGTTACCCTTGCATTTTTATGAAAAAGGGGCAAAAACACGTTATTATCCAAAATTTAAAACGGTAAGGGGTTAGCCTGGCATTTTTATCAAAAAGAGGCAAAAACACATTTTTATCCAAAAATTTAAAAGGGTAAGGGGTAAGCCTTGTATTTTTATCAGAAAGAGGCAAAAACACGTTATTATCCAAAATTTAAAACGGTAAGGGGTTAGCCTTGCATTTTTATCCAAAGGGGCAAACACACATTTTTATCCAAAATTTAAAACGGTAAGGGGTTAACCTTGCATTTTTATCAAAAAGGGGCAAAAACACATTTTTATCCAAAATTTACAACGGTAAGGGGTTAGCCTTGCATTTTTATCCAAAAGGGGCAAAAACACATTTTTATCCAAAATTTAAAACGGTCAGGGGTTAGCCTTGTATTTTACTCAAAAAGAGGCAAAAACACTTTTTATCCAAAATTTAAAACGGTATGGGGTTAACCTGGCATTTTTATGAAAAAGGGGCAAAAACAAATTTTTTATCCAAAATTTAAAACGGTAAGGGGTTAGCCTTGTATTTTTATCAAAAAGGGGCACAAACACATTTTTTATCCAAAATTTAAAACGGTAAGGGGTTAGCCTTGCATTGTTATCAAAATGGGGCAAAAACACATTTTTATCCAAAATTTACTACGGTAAGCATGGTAAGGGTTAGCCTTGCATTTTTATCAAAAAGGGGCAAAAACACATTGTTATCCAAATTTTAAAACGGTAAGGGGTTAGCCTTGCATTTTTATCAAAAAGGGGCAAAACACATTTTTATCCAAAATTTAAAACGGTAAGGGGTTAGCCTTGCATTTTTATCCAAAAGAGGCAAAAACACATTTTTATCCAAAATTTACAACAGTAAGGGGTTAGCCTTGAATTTTTATCAAAAAGGGGCAAAAACACGTTTTTATCCAAAATTTAAAACGATAAGGGGTTAACCTTGCATTTTTATTAAAAAGGGGCAAAAACACGTTATTATCCAAAATTTAAAACGGTAAGGGATTAGCCTTTCATTTTTATCAAAAAGGGGCAAAAACACATTTTTATCCAAAATTTAAAACGGTAAGGGGTAAGCCTTGCATTTTTATCAAAAAGGGGCAAAAACACATTTTTATCCAAAATTTTAAACGGTAAGGGGTTAGTTAGCCTTGTATTTTTATCAAAAAGAGGCAAAAACACATTTTTATCCAAAATTTAAAACAGTAAGGGGTTAGCCTTGCATTTTAACCAAATAGAGGCAAAAACACATTTTTATCCAAAATTTAAAACGGTAAGGGGTTAGCCTTGCATTTTTATGAAAAAGGGGCAAAAACACGTTATTATCCAAAATTTAAAACGGTCAGGGGTTATCCTTGTATTTTAATCAAAAAGAGGCAAAAACACATTTTTATCCAAAATTTAAAACGATAAGGGGTTAACCTTGCATTTTTATTAAAAAGGGGCAAAAACACGTTATTATCCAAAATTTAAAACGGTAAGGGGTTAGCCTTGCATTTTTATCAAAAAGGGCAAAAACACATTTTTATCCAAAATTTACAACGGTGAGCATGGTAAGGGTTAGCCTTGCATTTTTATCAAAAAGGGGCAAAAACACATTTTTTCCAAAAACACATTTTTTATCCAAAATTTAAAACGGTAAGGGGTTAGCCTTGTATTTTTATCAAAAAGGGGCACAAACACATTTTTTATCCAAAATTTAAAACGGTAAGGGGTTAGCCTGGCATTTTTATCAAAAAGGGGCAAAAACACATTTTTATCCAAAATTTGTATTTTTATCAAAAAGGGGCAAAAACACATTATCAAAAATTTAAAACGGTAAGGGGTTAGCCTTGTACATGTACATGTATTTTTATCAAAAAGAGGCAAAAACACATTTTTATCCAAAAATTTAAAACGGTAAGGGGTTAGCCTTGTATTTTTATCAGAAAGAGGCAAAAACACATTCGTATCCATAATTTACAACGGTAAGGGGATAGCCTTACATTTCTATCAAAAACATGAATAAGGGTAAAGCTTTGCATTTTGATCAAATGGGGGGAAGTTAAGATTTTATCACAAAGTTGTAATGGTAAGGGGTTAGCCTTGCATTTGTATCAAGAAAGGGATGAAAACCAACTTTTTTATCCAAATTCAAAACGGGCAAGAGTAAACTTTTATCACAAATTCAAAACAGTAAGGTGCCTTGCATTTTTATCGAAATGGGGGAAGTTACATTTTTATCACAAATTCAAATCGGTAAGGGGTTAGCCTTGCATTTTATCAAAATGGGAGAAAAGTTAATTTTTATCACAAATTCAAAATGGTAATGCGTTAATAGTCTTGCATTCTGATTAAAATTGGACAAAAATTTAGTTCATTATAAAAAAATTGAAATGGTAAGACCTTGTTTTTTCTTTGTTAAACCGAACTCCATCAACAGAACATCAAAGAAAGAGAAATACATTGTAAAGTAGTGGCTCAAAACACTATGCCAAAAGCCAAATCATCGCTTCAATGTGTGCTTTTGTGTGTGGGCTAAGAATGTTTTATCAAAACGTGACACAAGATAACTTTTATTAGAAAATCAAAGCGTTAACAGATTAGCCTTTCATTTCTATCAATAAGGGATGGAAAAAAAACCCTAATTTTGATCCAAAATTTAAACAAAAGGTTACATATAGAAATGAAGAAGTGGCTCAAAACACTATGCCAAAAGTCAAATCATCGCTTCAATGTGTGCTTTTGTGTGTGGTCTAAATTTTTTTATCAAAACGGGTCAAAAGTTAACTTTTTATCACAAATTCAAAACAGTAAGGGGTTAGCCATGCATTTTTATAAAAACTGGTCAAAAGCAAATTTTTATCACAAAATCAAAAAGGCTAGGTGTTAGCTTTGCATTTTTATAAAAATGGAGGGAAATGTACTTTTTAACACAAATTATAACGGTAAGGGGTTAGCATTGCATTTTTTTTCAAAACGGGGTAAGCGTTAACTTTTGATCACAAAATCAAAACGGAAATGGGTTAGTTAGTGCAAGTTAGCCTTGCATTTTTATCAAAAACGGGGCAAAAAAACCTTTTTATCCTTGCATTTTTATCAAAATGGGGGAAAGCTAAGTTTTTATCACATATTCAAAACGGTAAGGGCTAATGAAGGGGTTAGCCTTGCATTTTATCAAACTGGGGGAAAGTTAACTTTTTATCACAAATTCAAAACGGTAAGGGCTTATGAAGGGGTTAGCCTTGCATTTTTATCAAAATGGGGGAAAATTAAGTTTTATCACAAATTCAAAACGGTAAGGGGTTAGCCTTGCATTTTTATCAAAATGGGGGAAAGTTAACTTTTTATCACAAATTCATAACGGTAAGGGCTAATGAAGGGGTTAGCCTTGCATTTTTATCAAAATGGGGGAAAATTAAGTTTTTATCACAAATTCAAAACGGTAAGGGGTTAGCCTTGCATTTTTATCAAAATGGGAGAAAGTTAAGTTTTTATCACAAATTCAAAACGGCAAGGGGTTAGCCTTGCATTTTTATCAAAATGGGGGAAAGTTACGTTTTTATCACAAAATCAAAACGGTAAGGGGTTAGCCTTGCATTTTTTTTCAAAACAGGGCAAAAATTTTTTTATCACAAATTCAAAGCGGTAGTGGATTAGCCTTTCATTTTTATCAAAAAGGGACAAAAAGAATTATTTATCACATATTCGAACCGGTTCGTGGTTAGCCTTGAATTTTTATCATAAACTGGTCAAAAGTTAACTTTTCATCAGATATTCAAAACTGTAAAGGATTAGCCTCGCATTTTTATCAAAAAGGGGCAAAAACAAACTTAGTTTTTATGGTAGTTTTTATCAAAAAATAGCACGAACGTAAATTTTCATCAAAATTTCAATACGGTAAGGGTTAGCCTTGCATTTTTATAAAAATGGGGAAAGTTAAGTTTTTATCACAAATTCAATACGATAAGGGCTTACCATTTACTTTTTATCAAAACATGTTCAACTTATGCCTGTGCAAATCCGAAGGTAAAAGTGGCGAACAAGACATTGTTTAGACTTACCACTTAGACGACTTGCATGATGTCAGACTTCTTGGGTGTATTGTTTCAAAATGAATGTGTAAATTGCAAGTTTGCATCGACAGGTCTCGCATATGACCAAGAAAAATTACCGCAAATAAATGTTTAACTGGAAAATACAAGACTACCTAGTCGAGCCTTAAGCCGAACTGTTTACAAAATCAGTCACAAGTCATCACAAGTTAACTAAGAGTCATTCAGTCTCAAATCTATTCAACGTGACTGATCTGGTTACATCTCTGCCCAAAACAGCCAAGTCCAGTTCTGCCCTCTGCAAATCTTGGGTGTCGGCAAGCTCACCTTGGCCCCTCTCCAAGTCTCTTGTCCAGTTTTTCACACTCCTTGTTGACAATGTGATCAACCTCATTCTCATCAATCTGAATGGAAAAAAGTAACAAAAGTTTCATTTAAAACAACATTTTCTCTGTATCTCTGGTAACTGTGATTTTACAAAACTTGCCACAAATTTGTTTCCATGTGATACTTCAAATGCTTGGCACTGAAAGCTTAGTTCTTTATTTTTCTGCTCCTGTAGTATTGAATAGTTATCTTTGGTTCAAGTTAGGGCACATCTTAAAAGTTGAAATGTTCCAATTCCATAAGCTTCTTTTTGGAGCACTGTGTGTTCCCAATGTGTTCCCAACTGTGGCCTAATTACAGAAGTTATTTCTGCACCAGGCGATTTTGACTTTGACTCAACCATGTGTCCCGTCCGAAATTTCAAGTTAGAATGATTTGCTCTTCTTTTGACATTGACCTTCAATACTTTAAAACATAAATCAAATGGCCATTTGTGCTCGTTTTGTTTTGGCATGGTACAAAAACCTGGCTACACTTTTAAAACAATTTGGAACAGCGACTCAACTTCAAAGTGGCATTTGAAAGGACCATGGCACATCTTGATTTTAGACGTAAATCCACTCATGAGCTAGTATATAATATTTGAGCAGATTCGCTGATTAATTATGCAACACCTCTAGATTTTGACCAATCAGAGGGCACTTTCTATATCAGGCCTTCGGTCATTCACCAATTGTCGCATCATATACATGATTAAAAAAAAACCTCCAGACACAACATGGGATACGCTGTGAATTGAGCACACAAAGGCTGTGGTCAGGCACTCTGTGTTATGTTACGCGATACACCCCAAGCTTGTCTAGATTCTATAGATCTAGGCCCGGCCGTTGTTTTAGTATAAAACACTGCATCGGAATCAACCAATCACACTTGTACATGTTGTCAAGATTTCGGAATGAAATAACGTCCTGATTTAACGTTGACTCTGATTGGCTAGCTCATGGCACAGCACACATTTGCATTCCTAGACGTTTGAATGGAGTTAGGGCTAGAACGGGTGATACTCAGACTACTCATGAGCTGAACCTAATGCAAACTGCTGCAAATCTACAGCAGGTTTGCCTGTCTGAGACATGAGGATAAAATCACGACTGTTGGATAAAAACTCAGTTTTGAGCCGCCATCTACACTTTTAGTGTAAAATTTGTTTGGACAAACATGGTCAGTGATTGGTAATTATCTGTTCAATGGTAATTTCACCTTTGTGAAATGAAAATCTAGTTGGGCTTACTGATTTTTGGGATGGCTTGACTCTTGTTCGCCAGTCGGAACTATGTGGATATAAATTGCCAAATAAACACAAGATGTGAGTAAACTTACTTGTTGAGTTCTCTGGGCATGTTTGCCCTTTCCAGCAACTGGCACAGCAATGGTTCCATGTTGCTAGACTCCAGCCCATCAAGCTTGACGTCGATACACAGCAGACTGTTCAAGATCTCCCTCCCTTCCAGAGCCTCAAACTCCGCCCCCTTCCCGAGCTCTCCCATGCCTAGAACAAAGAGTAGCCGCCGAAGAAGCGTAAGTAAGCACTGGAGTCATCATTGATGCATTGGACATCATGGATCGCTATCAGCGGGGCCGTTTTGGTGTCTAGTTGGGTGTCTTGGACGAAACGACTCAGGAGACGTTGGAGGATTTAGTGCGCCCTGCTGGGGAGAGGCTTGCGACGGACTCATGAGAGAAAAGCTGGGGAGAACCAAGAAGGAACACTCGGTGTCAGGTGGCTTGGAATTTATGCTAGCAGTAACTCTGCATTTGGATTTCTAATAAAGCAGTTTAACCCATTCATAAAGACATGAATGATTTCAAGTGAATCGATCTGGAGCAAAACATTACCTAAACATGGGCACAACAAGCCAATAACCTATAATGAAATTGAGTACAATCAAATCGTCTTTTACTGAATCAAATACGACTCTTCTGAAAAGCTATTTTAACAGGTTTTTAAAAATAATGTTAAAGGCGTATAGGATCATTTGCATTTAATCAGATCAGACTGGTTTTTAAACGTGTACATACCGGTACAAACATGTATACCGTACAAAATTTTCTTTTGCTGTAATTTTCATATATAGAAGGATTTGGGGAGTAAGTATTTAAAAGCAAGTATTTTAACACTGACCTATTTAAAGTTTTGTGTTCATAGATGCTGGGAAAACCAAGAAAAAAATGCTGTTCTTGTCTTGTAGTATGGTTTCCTCACCCTACTTCAGACAAAACAGAGCAATTTATAGGCGTCAGGGAATTGTACCGATAGGGTCAGGGAACCAGACTAGCTGGCTTAATTGCTCGCACTCACAGATGTGTAACCGATTGCAAACAAAATGTGTACTAACTATAATTGGCAAATTGGGGGCAGTATTGAAAACAGTCAGGTTTTTCCAACGATGGTCGGCCAACAATCATTGGAAATTGATACAAAAATTCCACTTTTCTGGAAAATGACAGCACACTAGGTGCCATGATTTCATAGGACACTTGAGACTATTATTCACTGAAATTTCATAATAATTTAGTAATTTTGTTTTTTGATGTTTGCAAATGTTGCATACCGCGGTATTAACTTTTACACCCCACAAAATAATTCCGTCTGTCTTGCTGTCATTTAGAAAACCGAGTAATGTAGGGGATTTCCAACGATCAGTCAATCGACTCATTTTTGAAGAAAGAGTTACAAACACACAAATTATGTTTCATGATCAAAAGGTTGAGCACTTTTTTTTTTTTTTTTTTACTGTTTTCTAGGGGGGAAATGGTATCACTGAGCTGAAACTTCAATAGGTTAGGCATTCAACATTCTTCTTTTGATTTTGAATGGTCTTATTATTTGAAAACGAACAAAAGTCATGAATATCAAATGATCCTATATGCCTTTTAAAATAAAGATCTTCCCTTTTTTTACAATGACCTTTTTATTTTCTAAACGGACTTTCCTACAATGTAGGTGATATTATGCCCATTTGAAGTTTGTAAATTTAACAGAGATACAGCTTGTTAAATTTGTTGGTTATGCGTTCTTGAACTGCTACACAAATGGAATCACTTACTGTCTCGCATTCCCTTGATGATCAACAGGTCATCAGCTTGCCGTAAGGGACGTCAATGACTTCATCAACCCTCAGTCGCTGGACGATGACACGGTCCACCTCGGGGCTGGTCAGATCCTCACAATTCCTGTGAACATTGGCAGAAAAATCATCATCTATGGGAAAAATTACCAAGACAACAATTGTGCAAGAGAACTAGTTCCAAGCAAGATAAATCACATGGGAATGAAGCTGGTAACCGGCATCTGCTAAACAATGAACAAATTCTATTCTTTGCAGCGTTGTAACGAGACACTGAATGTTGTGACTTGAGTCGAGTCGAGTCATTTTAAGGAAGTGACTTGAGTCAAATCCAGTCGAGTGGAGTAACAGTGTGTGGTCGAATCGAGTCAAGTAGAATCTGTGCTCTAGTCAATTTAAAGCCGGCCTCAGGTCGACCTTGCGACTGACAAAGATCAGTCGACGACCGACTTTTCAGGATCAAGCTGTGCCTGAGCTATCACCGGCGGGAAGATTTCAGTCACCAATTTTTTGCGACCTGAGTGTAACTGCGACGATATTAAGACGATCGGAATTAGTCGGGTCTAAAAAAAAATCAACAGTAGCAAGAGAAGAAAAATTTCAACTTCTATGACGACGTTGCGATCGTGTGCGCATCAAGATCATCCTTTCCAATTGTTTAGCCAATTAGCACACTACTCTGGCACTCCGCACATTCTGCGCAACATCACGTAGTACGCAGCACGCGTGCGTCAATCACCATATAAGGCGATTGTTTACCTACTCACGAGAGGATATTCCATACCATAGCTAGAGGGGTGTTTAGAAAAAAATTAAATAAAACTGTTCAACAAAATCATCGGAAATGTATAATTGTTTGACTTGTGCCGATTTTTTGACTCAAAGCTATTTGTGAATGGGAATACCACAAGTACATTTAAGACCGTATCAGGGGAATGCGCGCTGGTAATGGCTCGAGCCGAGCCAGCCAAACACATATTAACTCCCTTATTGGTAAAGTCTGTCTATGACTGTCTATGCTGTGGAATCGTGGTGGATCGTCGCGTCAAGGTGACATGAGCAATTTTGAGCATGGTATACAAATATTGAGTGGCTCAGCGTGGAATGGGAGGAATATTATCGCAAGGTAAAATCTGGACTTTTCCATTTCACGAGGCGAAGCCGAGTGAACTGGAAAAGTCCAGATTTTACCGAGCGATAATATTCCTCCCATTTCACAATTTAAAGCCACTCAATATTTGTTTTATATAACTGACATATAGATCCTTGTCATTTGATATATTTGAACTTTTTTTGCAATAGAAAACTGAGGGAAAATGTATTTCTCTCTTCCAAATACCCTTTCACGAAAATGATTGAACCCAACGCTGTAGCGCTGGCTCTTTGGAACAATACGCGCTACGCGCAACGCTGAACGCGCACACCAGCATGCATTTGCACACAAATACCGCCTCATGATCCTAACTGTTGAATAGTATTTCCCATTCCCCATGGGCGGATAGTACTTTTTGAGCCGCGGCGTGAATGGGAGCAATAACGAATGTCACGTGATGTGAGTTCCACCAATCAAATGACTAGGATATATGTCAGTTATATAATTGCGATTATTTAATCGGGATGCCGCTTGTTCAAGAGAATCACACGATTTCTCAGTTTTGTGATCTGAGTATTATTTTTCTGCTTGATGCCGACGGTTCCGTCATGGCGCAAGCAAATCGCAGGTCGACCTGAGGCCGGCTTAAGTCAGTGATATTTGAACAACATCTAATAAATTACAGAATGGAAGAAAGAACACAAGGCACCAGTTTGTAATGAAAATCCAAAGACTTAAAAAACGCTGCATGGTACCCAATAGACAGTTTCTGCTGGACGTTTCTACCAAAGATCTGCGTACCAATTAACATGAAGTGAACTCCGGTTTCATCTCTGGTTTGGATTCAGGTCTGAAATATTTTTTACGCTGACAAATTGCAACATTTGAAACTGTTTCTGATTATATAGAAAATATCAAACAAAATTTGAAAACATAAATTTAGTTGGAGTTTCATCAAGGGCTTAGGAAATCGCCCGAAGCCGAAGATGAAACCAAGAATTGGGAAAACTCTGGTTTCGGGATAGTAATTTGTGCGCTACATTATAGTACACGAGTTGGGAGTCCGTGATAAGGCCAAAAGAAAAAAAATAATTCTGCTTCCAATTACATGTCATTCGAAAATAGGGTAGGTACATGTAGGTAGGGACTTTTTTTGGCCAATATTTTTTGGTACGATCATATGGAGGAGTCTGCGTGTAGTCATGGGTTAAAGGCAGAAATTGATGGTTTTTGGTGTTTTTTTGTCATTTTTCCCATAACAAGATTAGGGTAGGGGCTGTCAGAATAGGGTAGATAGGGGGTTTCCCTACAAAAAAAAATTCTGCTTCCGGTTGAAAGCAGAACTTTTTTTTTTTTGGCCTGAGGCGTATACATGTATTTGTACGCGATAAACGGCAACAACTCGACGGTAATGTGAATATAAAACTTTGTAATGTTCGCACAGTGTTAGGACTCAAGTTTTATTAACCTTCGACTCAAGTAAAGTCGAGTCTACTGATGAGAGACTCGAGTCCAGTCGAGTCAATTACCCATTGGGACCTGAGTCGAGTCAATTACATTGTAAATCATTGACTTGAGTCATTACAACTCTGATTCATTGTTCAGCAAAGTTGTGTGCTTCACAGCAACATGAAATATGCTCTTATTGAAGGGTTTAGAGGTGAAATGCCCCAAGTATGACATCACCCCAACTACATTGTATTGTTGGGACCACTGCCATATTTTGGGCTATAGTTGGGACGACTGCCATATTTTGGGCTATACTTTGGACCACTGCCATATTTTGGGCTATAGTTGGGACCACTGCCATAATTTGTAGTTGGGACCACTGCCATAATTTGGGCTACAGTTGGGACCACTGCTATAATCTGGGCTACTGTTGGAACCACTGCCATATTTTGGGCTACAGTTGGGACCACTGCCATATTTTGGGCTATAGTTGGGACCACTGCCATATTTTGGGCTATAGTTGGGACCACTGCTATAATCTGGGCTACAGTTGGGACCACTGCCATAATTTGGGCTACAGTTGGGACCACTGCCATATTTTGGGCTATAGTTGGGACCACTGCCATATTTTGGGCTATAGTTGGGACCACTGCCATATTTTGGGCTATAGTTGGGACCACTGCCATAATTTGGGCTATAGTTGGGACCACTGCCATATTTTGGGCTATAGTTGGGACCACTGCCATATTTTGGGCTACATGTATAGTTGGGACCACTGCCATATTTTGGGCTATAGTTGGGACCACTGCCATATTTTGGGCTACAGTTGGGACCACTGCCATATTTTGGGCTATAGTTGGAACCTCTGCCATATTTTGGACTACAGTTGGGACCACTGCCATATTTTGGGTATAACAGGCTTACCGATGGTTTGATGGTGCTCAGTTTGTGGATTTTCGTCTTCGTTTTTGCCACCTTGCTCTACTTGTACAAGTTTGCGCTGCATCTGCAGGCACTTCAGCTTTTTCTCCAACTCGCTCATCTTACGGCCCAAGTCCATGCTGCATCATGACGGCCTTCAGCACCTCCACCAGGCTGAACTCCTCATGCAGGCCCAGGCTGCGGCCAGGGAACTGGCTTTGAAACCTAAAAAGAAAAATTAACATCTATTCAATTAATAAAGTGTCAATTTCATTTTCTTGAGCAACATTTTCAATTTCATAACGTTTATCCAAAAACTTATTACGTAGCTCCGCCAAGGAGGCTATGTTTGCACCGGCGTTAATTGGTTTGTGATTTGGTTGGTTTGTTGGTTTGTTGGTTGGTTAGTTGGTTATGGACGGATTTTCATGAAAGTTTTTGCGGGAGTGGTCTTTGGTAAAGTACAAATCGATTGGATTTTGGAAGTGATCCAGATAGTCTACATGTTCATCTGGATGCAGGATTTTTTTTACAGATTTTTTTCACCCATCATATGGAAAACTTTCAACAGATCACCCTGCGTGACCCTCTTCTTGTGCGTGGCACTGACCCGGTGACCCTGTATCCCTTATCACCCACCTAATCTAACCACACAGGTCAATGGACTAGACCATTTTATACAATGGGGGAGTGGAAAGGTAGACCGACACAGGCATACATACACAAAATGTTTGAGTTAAAGGATTTGTTTTGGGTCTGCATGTAGGATTTTTTTAAAGGATTCTTCACCATAAATGCGAGTATTTCTTTCGGGTGAACTGACAATAAGGCGGGGAATTGTTTATCCTTGGTCATGTTGGTACATGTAGGTTTGCACACTCTGAGTGCTTTGCTTTAAATTGAATAAAAATACAAATAAGGAGATCCATTTTAGAGTGAGTACAAACAGAAGGAATAATTGATAAAATCACCATGTGAGTATACCGGTACATATGTCACAATATAACACAACAATGTTGCGACAAGAATTAAAAATTGGGATTTAAATCGGTGAATTAAATCAACGCGATTTAAATCAGACAACCCTAATAATAGGCATGTAAGGGGGTGTGATTCAAGTCAATTAACTATTCTAGCAGGCAGAGAATGAAACATATTTGGTACTCAATTGACAGAGAATTGACAAAGGAAACATAGGTGTGCGATATGTGTGTTCAATACGTAACAGTTTGACAAAGTTAAGTGAATCATTGTGTTAAGATTATGTGGTCCGCACTGGCGCAGCGCTGGCCGGCCACGCCCTTCGACTTCTGCCGGCCCACATTGCTACATGTACACCCAGGTACATGTATCACCCCCTTTGTGACACACTGCGACACCGGTTTTGCCACTAAAAATATGAACCATGTATGTCGGATCAGAAAACCCCAAATTTTCCAGTGCATGGTGCCAGAAGGTGCTAATGACTCCTTGCATATTAAAATTCTGTATTTTTAAAGCAAAAATCAAACAAACTACCTTGAATTTGGAGAGTTTTATTTCTTCGTATAAACTTTTTCTTCGACATAATTTACAAGTGTTGTGTTTGGTATTGCTGGAAAGAGCAAGATATTGTCTATAAAATTGACCTAAAGTATAAAGGTTAGGAAATACCAAGAATGATGACGCTTAAGGTTGATAATATTCACGATGGCGACGGGCAACATCGGCGGCTAATTGTCATAATTGTTACATGTATGCTCATTTTGATTGTCACTGATTGTGTAATTCTAGTTTGTTTGCACTTTGCACACATTTGCATTATCGAAATGACGTCTGAAAAATGCCTAACTTCTTTTCTATAGCTAGTATAAGAGGGTTCTAAAGCATAAATAAACTACAAAGTCTAAATATGAAAATCAAAACTTGACAAAGTTCTATGTTCGGGTACATGTTCCAAGTGTGGCCTATATTTACGGAGGTAGTACAGCAAATTGGCCACATTTGTGGGGCTGGCTATCACGGATGGTGCCGAAAAAAAAGTGCTTTTTGTCAGATTGTTAGCCCCATAAATGCAGCTGAAATACTGGACTAACTCTGCACTACATGCATGACATGTGGCCTGGGGGTGGAATGGATGGTCCCATTGCTACAAATTGTAGGGAAGCCGAAAATCAATTCAGAACAAAATTATTTTGTCATTTAAAAATCACCCCACTTATCTGAGCTACAGAAGTGTGATCGCTTGCTTAACCCTCGTACTATTTAAGAGGTCACCAATGGTCAAAATGTTTGTATCTCACCTCCTGGCATACTGTGTACAAACCAATGGGGGTCTTGACCAATATGAATAACCAGGCTGACAATGCATGTTTCCATAGGAATAGCAAAAACCGTTGAATTCCGTACCTTCAGAGGACTGACGAATTACGACGGTTTTCCAAAAGCATGGCGTCTTTGCTGTAAGTTCGGCCAGTGATCGGTCTTGATGTGTAACATAAGGAGATTCCTTTTCGTGAGAAACCGTCAAACAACAACCGACAGTTCTTTCGAGAATAAGGGAGCGCAAAGTAAACTCGCAGCCGCTGCACACGTGTGTCTGTCTAGGTTTCGTTCAATAGAGCGCGCCACATAAATAGTAGTCTCCACGTACAACGCGCATCATGACAAACTCGTTTTCGATCAACTACTCAATAAATACAACTATGTATTACATTGAAATTTCGCGCACTGAGTTTCCACGATGTGTTACATAAGGAGATTGAATATCATGTGAAAACATGAAACAACAAATATAATATGATCGCAACAATGTAGTGTTTTAAACGCGAAAAATCGACGTTGACTACCATTCGGATTGTATTTGTAGCGCTCATAATAGCTCCATTGTTCGACGGTTTCTTATGAAATTAAATCTCGTAATGTTGAACATTATGACAAATAAGTGTACGAAAATTCAATGTAATACTGCTAATACATCATGTTTTTCTTGAGTTGTTGTCCCCCAAAATGAGTTTGGTGGTGGAGATCGAGACCACTATTTATGTGGTGCGAGACCACGAGGGGTGCAGACCTGTAATTAAAGTGGCCCATCATTGCCTACGCGAGCCAAATCACAATTGTGTACCCTCAAATATACTTTGCTATTAGAGCAATTATTGTGGGCCATGAACTTGAAAGTTTGTAGAACAGAAGAGCAGAAGCCGTGCACGTGACTGCACGCTTGTATTTCTGGATTTTTTTCTGCTATCAAATTCAAATCCGACTTTAATAATAACAATTAAAGGGAAAAGTCGAAAACTGTTGAAAAAAGGGGGAAAATGAAGACCAGGACAGGAATCGAACCACGAACCTCGATTCAGAAAAGAAAAAAGCTTTTCTGCTGTGAAATTCGAATCTCAATTAAACAATAGGGCCGCCTCACAGTTATAATAAGGGGGAACAATCGAAGAGTGTGCAAAAAAAAAGGAAAAAATGAGGACCAGGAGAGAACTCGAACCACGAACCTTAAGATGAGAACCCTACGCGTTTTGTCATAGTTTCTAACTTTGCGTGCATGACGTCATCATTATAAAATAATTGAAGTCTCCATAAAGTACACACAGGCACATGGAACTGAGATATTTTCTAACTTCATGCAATAATGAATTATTAATAAGTAAATTGATTCCTTTCAGCCAAGCCCGTTACAAGGTTTGTGGTTGAATCAATACATGAAAACCTTCGAATAATGGCGCGGTATCGATTATTGGTACAGTATACCTTAAGCCTGAAGTGATGGACAAAGGATTGACTTCGCAACATCCATACCGCGATAAACAAGTCACAATAAAAAATTGGCCGTTGCACACTTATTACTCTCCTGCGGGCCACAACGCGTTTATTCGCCCATGTGTGTAGCGACTGCGCGAGACGGTCAAGGAATTCGCGGAAACGCTTAAAAAGAAGCAACATTAATGTCCTTCAACTGACATGTGACACTTTATGCGAAGCAAGCAATGACTCCTCTTCATCTCTGTGTGGTGTGCCTAAGTGTGCCAAGATTTCTCCCCGATCCAACACCATCATTTCAGAGAATCAAGACTGTTTTCAACATCTAAAGGACCGCACTACGATATCTCGGGTAGCGGTCACTTGAACTGGCGGTGAATTGAACTAACTGAGAGATAAGTCCGTTGTTAATTAAACACTGCACACTAATCGCTGTTCTTTGTTTTCGCCACCCATCTTACGCCCGCCCACAATCAACGAGGTTTTAGTTGATGCTGGTAGTTACGAATGATAATTGTTGTGTTCGTACGTCAATAATACCCGATTAAGGAGAGACTGAGATTAGGGATACTTTTCTGGTTGCTTCGTATTGTATTCACGTTTGATGTCATGCCATAACACACTAGAGTACACACGTACTAGAATGTACAGACGATTAACAAATGACGTCATACACTGGTTGCACTATAAATAGATCACTGCAGTCTGCATACACTACATCCTCTCCCCCCTTAATATGGAAGCTGTACACACACACAAAAATATCATTTTCAACCCTATGAAAATGTCCTCGACTGAAAATTCTGTCTATAAAAGCAATGTCACACCTTACACAAAAAAATGCTAATCCTACAAACACTTGTTGCAAGAAAACCAAAGTTCAAAACAAAGAAAATCCTTTTTTCCATAATTAAATCCAAGTCCCTAGACAAGGTACATTGTAGCAATGGCTTTTTTCTCTTCCTGCCCTTAATTTGAATAAACGGAACTTCCCTTAGGATTTCCTTCTTGTTTGCTTGCTTGTTTGTTAGTTTTTTGGTTTTTTTTACACCCATGACATTCCAATACCGTACAATTTCAACTGCAACCTTTTTTGTTTGTTTCAAAACTGCAACTCTAAAAACTTGTTTAAACAACTTGAGTAACAAGATAAACATTAACACAACTGTAACAACTCAAAGTGCAGTACATGCACATTTTAACTCTCATGCCGGCCTCTGCGAACAACAGTTAGGTTATTCCATAGTCTCAATGAGTCTGTCTGGGGGTTTGCTGACCCTTGACGAACGACGTAGGGGTTTGGGTGAAGCACTGGAATCTGCGGTTACGGTCGGTGTCGCCGATTGTGAAGTCTGCTCACCACTTGTGATGTTTGAGGGTGGCGCGTGTGTACGTTCTGTCTGAGGAATTTGCGAGCCAACGACTGGAGCTGTCTCAGCGGTAGGGATAAACACCGGAATGGATGCTAGGTCAGACATATCAGTATCTTGGTGAGCTGAGGTGTGCATCCCATTCCTTGAGTTCTGAGAATGACTGGATGTAGACCGTTCTGCTCTTCTCATCTGATCCACGTGTCTTTTCCACACTCGACCATCCTGCAAAATTACCACATAAGACTTTGGGGCTGTGCGCTCTGCGACTGTGGCCAGCCACCAAGTCTCTTTGCAGCGGAAATCCTTAACCAACACATCCTCCCCCGCATAGAACTCGCGGAGTTGGGTCTGTTTGTCGTGGTGCAACTTTTGGTTGCTCTGCATGTTGACCACCTTGCGTTCAACGTCCGGGCGTAGCAAGGACAAACGAGTACGCAGTTCGCGTCCTAGGAACAAACTCGCAGGAGTACGACCGGTTGTTGCATGTGTCGTAGTGCGATATGTCAACAGGAAACTGTCGATACGTTGTTGCAAACTCCGAACACTCGATTTGCTTGAGCTGAGAGCGCGTTTGAAGGATTGAACCATTCGTTCTGCTGCACCATTACTTGCGGCGTGGTACGGTGCAACTCTTACGTGTTTTACGCCATTCACGTTGAGGAACCATTGGAACTCCTCACTTGTGAATTGCAGTCCATTGTCACTGACAAGTTGGTAGGGGATGCCATACCTGCTGAATAAGTCTTGCAGCACCGTGATGGTTGCATTCGCGGTGGTGCTACTCATGTGGAAGATCTCTGGCCATTTTGCGTATGCGTCAATGACGATCAGGAAATCGTGACCATTTTTCTGCGCGAAATCGATGTGAATTCTGTGCCACGAAGAGCTATGCCACACCCATGGCATTAGGGGTGCCACAGCTGGAAGGTGTCTAGTCTGTTGACAGCTAGCACAGAGACGAACAGTCTGTTCGATGTCGCGATCGATGTTAGGCCACCAAACGTAGCTTCGTGCAATTTCTTTCATCCTGACAATTCCTGGATGCGCATCATGTAACTCACCCAGAATGAACTTCTCGTACTTGTAGTGTATCACAACTCTTAATCCCCACAACAAACAGTCCTGTTCCGTGGATAGTTCGTGTCTGCGATTGAAGAAAGGTTTGAGGCGTTCGTCCCTTACCTCTGCTGGCCATCCACTTTTAGTGAACTCTAACACGCGCGAAAGCACAGGATCAGTTCTTGTAGCCTGTGAGATCTCCTTACTGGTTACTGGTAGGCTATCGAGGCGTTTGTCTTCGATGTTGTAGATAGCGTCTTCATCGTCCTCCTCCATTGTGGGTAATGGGAGATGTAAGAGCGCATCCGCGAGCACATTCTGCGAAGATGGAATGAACTGCAAGTTGTAGTCAAATGCGGACAACATTACAGCCCATTGCTGAAGACATTGTGCTGCAAGGGTTGGAATCGACGTCTTGGGACCAAGGATGCGCTCCAATGGCTTTTGATCAGTCCGTATGGTAAATTTCCTTCCGTAGAGATATGTGCGGAAGCGTTTGAGACCGAACATGATTGCCAGGGCCTCCTTGTCCAGTTACGCGTAGCCCTTCTCATGTTTATTGAGTGAGCGTGAAGCATATGCTATAGGATGTCTGGAGCCGTCAGCGTACACATGCAGCATGACTGCTCCAAGTCCATATGGTGATGCGTCCGTTGCGAGCTCGAGAGGGAGTGCTGGGTCGTAGTGAGCGAGAAGTTTGTCTGAACTGATGGCGTCCTTCACTGCCTCAAATGCCCTGGTACATTCATCCGTCCACTGCCAAGGACAATCCCCGAGCAGTTCGTTTAACGGATGGGCCATGGTCGACAGGTTGGGAAGGAACTGCGCTTGGAAGTTGACCATCCCCAACCATGAGCGAAGCTCTGTGACATTCTGTGGAACTGGAGCGTTGCGTATCGCGTCAACCTTGTCGTCGGTTGGCTGAATCCCTTTTGCAGAAATGCGACGTCCCATGTAGATTACGCTCTCCTGCATGAACCGACACTTTTCGGTCTTCAACCTGAGACCGTATTTCCGGAATCGCTGGAAAACGTTCTTTACGTTGCGGAGATGTTCCTCATCCGTCTTGCCTGTAACAAGCACATCATCCATGATTGCTTATGTGCTGTCCAGACCTGCTAGTACTTGTTCGATGAATCTCTGCCAGATTGCAGGACTCGATGAGATACTGAATGGTAAGCGTGTATACCGATACAGTCCCTTGTGCGTGTTAATCGTGACGTATTCTTGGGATTTGTCGTCGAGCAACATTTGCTGATATGCGCATTTCAAGTCGATTTTGGAGAATTTCTCCCCACCGGCTAGCTTGCTGAATACTTCCTCCGAAGTAGGTATGGGGTACTGATCGGTGTGGATTGATTTGTTTACAGTGTTTTTGTAATCCCCACACAGGCGTACCGTAC